GATTCCCATTAAATCACATGTTTTAAGCTTGTTTTTGGCATTCAAAACACTCTCCGACCTTTACTATCCTCACCACCCACCTTCTGAAGGGTGCACATTTCGTCGTCAAAAATAAGGCATTTTATACGTTCACTTCTCCATCTGAGCGTCCGCAGTTTCTCTTTTTCATGCCTCCTTTTGCCCGTCCATTTATGGCGGTGCTTTTGAAAGAATGTTTATAAGTTGCTGTCTTATTGCCATTATAAGACCGTGCAGGATTACCCTTTCCCTATATAGATGTACCCCTCTCCGTTTTTTGTTTTGCTTAATTGTAATTGCAGCCTCCGCGCTGAACATTCTGTCTACTTGAATTGGCAAGGTCATCACTTCTAACACTTCAAGTTAGTTTTTATTTCCAGCGAGGGAACACTAGCTTCCTTGCTACGAACCGCACATTTTTAATTTCCTGTACAAGGAGACCAGAGGGTTTCTATTAAACGAAGGATAATCAAGTGACCCGCTCAGAGGTAATTTTGTTGTAGTATCCAACGGAGAAATGTCATCGAGTCTCATTTCGCTGCTTTTGAGAAGGTTAGATGGTAGGTAGAGGAGAGTTGGAGATGATAAGAGTTTGTAGGAGTGGCGTACTAGGAATGTTTGTTAAAATCACTCAATATGACCACGTGTTATACTGTTTCCTAGTCCAGCGGAATTCCTTAAGAAGTATCGCATTTAGTGTTCACCGCTGCATGCAGAATGCGGAGTTGTCCTCTTTTAACATCTCTGCTCAGGAGGCAGGGAAAGGGCCCTTCCATAAAGGGCTCAGATCGCTAATTATAAATATAAATTATAATATAAAACCGGATTAGTATTAGATACTGTAGCTCTTTATTCTTTTTCCTTGACTTCGTACCCAGACCGTGGCTTCTGTAGTTAAGAAGGAGGCTAGCTAATTGAGCAAGGGGTTCAGAGGCGCTGGGCCTTCCCTCCCTCCATATATGCAGACACCTTTCTCAGCTTCCACTGCAAATAGTGCTGAGAGCTTCATAGCAGAGCTTTGTTATCCTATGCTGTAAGAATGCAACTGCAGGGTCACCCTGTAAAAAACTTCTCTGTATCCATGATATTATCATCACAGATGTTCAATGGATTTATATACAAAGGTTTAATATCAATCTAATTATACTATTCAGAATTCTCACTTTATTAGACATTTTTTGCAGCCAGGATCTTTAGGTTTATATATTCTAAATTCGACAAGTATGTTTTTTTTCAGGATTTTCTCATTCCCGGATCTTTCCAAGGTTCATGAATTCACAACACACGAAAAGGAAACAACTTTGAATCATTGTTCAAAACAATCAATTAGAATAATGGAAAAGGAAGAAATTTCGAACTTTTAAAAAATATTTTTCTTTGAAATTCTTTAAATAAAAACTTTAAATCTTAAATTCTTCATCGCCTTTTAATATTAAAAATATATAGATTAATTTTGTAAAGGGTTGGGTATTTTTTTTTTTTAAATTTATTTCGACAAGGTTTCAAAGTTGTTTTACTGCCTGAAGGAAGTGGACGATATTGATTTTAGTCCAGACAGCAGTAAAGCAGCAAGCATTAGTAAAGATAGGTAAATCAATAATAATTTTTACATTTATTAGACCTTTTCTTGTTAAGTTTTTTATTTTATTTTACCAGCAACCAGTCAGTATACATACTTGGAATTGTTTTTATATTAGTTGTAAACTGTTCAATTTATATTGACGTACAATTGTAAACTATTTAATTTATTTTAACGTACAACTGTAAACTATTTAATTTATATTAACGTACTACTGTAAACTGTTTAATTCTTATTGGAGTACAACTGTAAACTGTTTAATTTATATTAACGTACTACTGTAAACTGTTTAATTTTTATTGACGTACAACTAAAAACTGTTTAATTTATATTGACGTACAACTAAAAACTGTTTAATTTATATTGACGTACAACTAAAAACTGTTTAATTTATATTGACGTACAACTAAAAACTGTTTATTTTATATTGACTTACAACAAAAAACTGTTTAATTTTTATTGACGTACAACTAAAAACTGTTTAATTTAAATTGACGTACAACTAAAAACTGTTTAATTTATATTGACGTACAACTAAAAACTGTTTAATTT